GGACTAGAACTCACCGTCTCCTGGTGATTGGCCCAAAGTCACCCAGCTGGCTTTCATGCCTAAGGCGGGACTAGAACTCACCGTCTCCTGGTAATTGGCCCAAAGTCACCCAGCTGGCTTTCATCCTAAAATGGGACTAGAACTCAAAGTCTCCTGGTGATTGATTGGCCCAAAGTCACCCAGCCGGCTTTCATGCCTAAGGTGGGACTAGAACTCACCGTCTCCTGGTGATTGGCCCAAAAACACCCAGCTGGCTTTCGTGCTTAAGGTGGGCTTAGATCTCTTGATTTCCAGGCCAGTACCTTAACCACTACACCAGACTGTCTCCTTTAAATATTTTCTCCAAGGGTGGTCTCAAAAACCCCCCCCCCCCCCCCAAGCTGACGTTCTATTCTAATTTTTGCCCTGGGTAACCCCGTTGTTCAAAGGAAGATGTGGTTAGAGCTCCTGGGGGCAACCAGAGAGGATGTGGTCAGTTTTCCTGGACAACTAAGCTGAAAGGAGGGGCTACTCCCAGCCCTTGGGGTAACACATTTTTTAAATTGACAATATAGTTACATTCCTTCTGTGCCCGCAAAGACCCATCCTGTAGTTCCTTGGGGGCAAAGGAGGAATTTCAGCGCCATCGGGCACTGCTATGACCATTGGTTTTAGAGGAGAGGGGCCAAGAGAAACCAGTCTCCACTTACATTCATCTTCTTCTGTCTTATTTATTGATCCAATCTTAAAACCATCCATCTCCTTCCCGGAGCGACTTTGGATGAATTCTAGAACATAAAACAGTATATATAACATTTAAAATGAGGCAAGGGTGATTAAAATTCAATGTTAAAAAGTCAAGCATTGCCTTCATTTTGTCGACACTCTTTAAGGGAGATGGGCACTTCAGTTAGAAGTATTAGCACCGCTTTGTAAAGCCTTAGTAAGGCCACACCTGGAACGCTGCATTCAGTTTTGGTCACCACGTTACCAAAAAAAGATGTTGAGACTTTGGAAAAAGCGTAGAGAAGAACAAATAAGAGGATCAAAGGCCCGGAGACTGAAACATAGGAAGAACGACAGCAGGATTTCAGTTTGGCTAATCTAGAGAAAAGAAGAACTTGGGTGGGGGGACTCCATTGCAGTCTTCCAGGATTTGAGGGGCTACCCTAGAGAGAAGGGGACCCACCTATTTTCCAAAGCACCCGGACAAGAAGCAATGGATGGAAACTAACCAAGGAGAGAAGCAACCTGGAATTGAGGAGAAACTTCTGACAGTGAGGACAATTAACCAGTGGAACTGCTTGCCACCGGAAATTATGGGTGCTCCATTCCCTGGAAGTTTTTAAGAAGAGACTAGACAGCCATTTGTCTGGAATTGTATAGGATCTCCTGCTTGAGCCAGGGGGCTGGACTAGAAGGGACCTCCAAGGTCCCTTCCAGCTCTATTCTGATTCAGAAATGTGAATAATAAATAAAACAAACGAACACACCTGAACCCCATGCAACCTGGGCCCTGGAAGGATGCTGAAAAGAGCTTCGGGGGGCAGTTGTTCAAGCAGCCGTCCCCTGAATCAGAAAAGGCTGCTAGGCCAGCCCGTAGCAGAGCCCCTTCCCATCCAGGTCTCCCCTCCCTTCCCTCTTGTGTTTTGCAGGAGAGTGACGTTAAATGGGCCTCCCGTTGGGACACCTACCTCACCATGAGTGATGTGCAGATACATTGGTTTTCCATTGTCAACTCCGTCGTGGTGGTTTTCTTCCTTTCAGGTGAGTAAGGGAAACCGGGGGCACTTGAACTGGATTGATTTGAATTGGGGTCGATTTCATCTGGCCAAGGGAATTTGGTACAAAGAAGCACGCCGTGAACTTGCAGAACAACAGAGAGGATAATACGATTGATCATAAACTAGCAGCATTGACGAATTTGCCATCAGTCAATTGCGGAAGGCGGTTTGCCTCGGAACAGCTGACATCCCGAGACGAAACCTCTTAACACCATCAGACGTTCACATCTGCCTATCCCAGGTTCCTGGGAAGGGCTCGATAGGTAGACAGAAATGCCAAATCCAGTCCAAACATCCGGCTGACGGGGTGACAGCCCATAATAACGCCAGTAAAAGGTGGGGTAAACAGGGTAATAGGAACCCTGTAGCTAGGCGGTGCAGCTGGAAGATGCCAGCAGAATTTCTGAATCGCCTTTGCTTTTTTAATAACCTATCCTATCTGTTTTTGTATGTTGACACTTCCCTTTGTTTATTTGTTTGTTAAATTTATTTAAACTTCTAAAACTCCCCAGGGCAATTTACAATGTGTGTTTTTTTAAAAAAAACAAAAAACAAAAAAACTAATAAATTTATAATTTAACTGATATGATTCAGAGCAAGGGCAATAACTGATTTTTGAAATTTAAAAAAAGAAAAGAAACAGGCTCAGAACCTTCTAGTTTAACTTCTAGGAAGCTGTTAGTTCTGGGCCAGTTCAGCTCCTTTCCTCCCCCCCCCCCCCCCCATCTTTTTATTGATCAATGTATTGATCAAATCTGAAAACCGGCTACCTCCCTCCCGGAGGGACTCCAGACAACGTGCCAGTGAAACATTAACACGCACGCAACATTTAAAAACCCAAAAGGGCAAAAGTGAATTAGAAACCAGTGTGAAAGTGAATTTAAAGGCGGAGGGAGGGATTTCAGGATTTGGGATCATCAGTTTACCTTCGTTTTCATTGCGTTGGCATTAATTAATTTGTCTTTAGCAGGTCCTTACCTGCCAAAAGCCACCTACCTGAGACAGGCCATTGTCTAAGACAGGAATCTCCAAACTTGGCAACTTGAAGACATGTGGACTTAATAGAATAGAATAGATAATAGGAATAGAATAGAATAGAATAGAATAGAATAGAATAGAATAGAATAGAATAGAATAGAATAGAATA